CCCTGTTGAATTAGCACACATGCAGGCATGATTTAGTCACAGAGAGAGAACGGAAAATTTGGCCAAATAAAAACTGTAACAAGAAGTTGTTAAAGTTACTGACTGGTGCTGTATGTCATTTAATAATCAGTAGTTAGCTTTTCTTTGCCATTTCATGTTGCAAGCTATTTTTCAAAGCATTTTTAACAAACGCTTTCAAAAAGTGATGGGGACTTGTCCCCAGGGTCCCCAGTGTAAATAACACAGATACTGACACATTAATCGTGTTGATGTTAGCCTACATTATATCCAGGTTGCGCCACTGCTCTGAACACTTAGCTTAGCTAACATTACTGGTTAATAACAGCGGGCAAAGTTCTAAACTTAACATTACTGTATCTGAGAGGACAGTTAATATTGTAAGCTAGCTTACTTCTGTCTTGCATCAAACTTACTTTCCGATGGACAGCTCGTTTGGCAGTGTTCTACCGTCTTCACGTGTTCAGCTGTGAGACTCCGCAGCGTAGCGGACAAGAAAAAAGACCCGCCCTATCCTGCCTCTGATTGGCTGTTGGGTTGAGGCTTTAGGAGTGACGATTGGTTAGGCAGAGCCAGTTGTAAAGTTGCAAAGCTCATGCTAGAGATGAGAGGACTCGGGTAGGCCTATTTGCTGTCTTAGCAACGAGTGACCCCTCCTTAATATTTTCTCATCAGATCTGCACAAATCACGTAGGTGTTTGTCCTTTTGTTAAAATCGACTGTAAATGAACATCTTAAAGCTTATGTTTTGAAAAAACAACTGATGAGTAATACTGTCAATGTTCTATTTTTTGTTCAAGTAATTTCTGGACTTTGCATAATATGATGCATTGCCTTTGTGGACTCAGCATAATTACTTTATTTCCATATACCATTCCATATTCCTCCTTAATGGAAAACACACATGGTGGTGCAGAAGTAGACATAAAACGAAGTTGTCATGTCATTTCTGGAGGTTATCTGCAAACATAGCCATTCACAGCAGAGAAATCTTAGCAGCCATTATATAATATACCAATGAATTACAATCTCCACAGTTTAGTTCCCTCCCTCCTGCCATCTCTTTCACTGTCACTGTCTGTGGTGTCAATGCAGTTGATTGTAGAGCTTGGCTGAAACTCAGTAAGGGAGAACTTGAAAATGTCCTTGTATGCTTTATTCTCTCATTAAGCTATTTTGTTTATAGTTTATCCACATTCCAAAAGTCTGTATCCACCACGAAAGGGTGCATGGATTAGATTTTCATCTGTTTTCCCGACTGGTGGACTGCAAAAGCATCAAAACGTTTTTTCAATAGAACTAGGAGAAGGTTGGGCTTCTTCCCCTTCATTTTATTCCACTTTGAAATTAAGCATTACCCAGAAACTCTGTCAGGTTTTAATGCATGTACTTGCCAAAGTCCACAAAGAAACCCTCTAAGCACCTTTCCATGACTGAGGCTTGTAAATGTAATTGCTGGTTTCACCTGCGGGCTCCTAAGAAAAGAGGACAGGAAGGAGTACAGATGGACAATTTTCAATCTAATTGCCATCCTTAAATTTGTAAAGAGTAGAGGAAGCCAGAAATCAGAGAAATGGACCGGATCGCTCTCTCTGTGTTAGTATGTATTGAGTGTGTGTGTGTCTTTTTTGTGTTTCTGCATTTTCTGCTTGCGAGTGTTGCACTTTCAATGTACATTTTAATCTGTAGTTTGTTCCACTTCCACTTAACTACGAGATATTTTTTTTAGCATCTGCTTCCTCTGTCCCTCGTGAAGTGGAATAAACATAGACACACACATGCACAGACACACACAGACACGTCTGCATGAGAACAAATGCATGCTTTTTGTTCGGGAACAGTCAATGCCAGAAATGAGACTAAGTGTGGCCAGGCGGACGGACAAGTGAATGAAACAGCTACAGAATCACTGGCTGTGTTTGATTTGCCTCCACTAATTTAAAGAGACCATCTGATAAATTGAGAGGATGGGATGTACATCAGAATAGCAAGAGGCGCCTCTTTGTTGTTTCCCATTCCCAACCAAATCACACCCCAACCCCCGTTAGAACACCCAGAGGGGAGAATGTTTCCCTTGTGTGTGTGTGTGTGTGAGACAGAGAGAGAGAGAAAGAGATCTGCGTTGCTAGGAGGTGTGAGTTTTCAGGAGGTCCTGCTGAAAGCAAATGAAGGAGCACTTGTGTCAACATTCTGACGGCAGTGATGAGCCACTAAGCCTCCCGGCCAAACAGCCAAGGGGCTGCATAACCTCCCTGCGAAAAAGCAGGCGCTGCGCTCTCAGAGCCCTCCTGCACTTGTTCTTTGTGTGCAGATCAGTGAGATTTTTCCTTTCAATCTCCATATTTACCTTTAAATGTTTCCGCGGTTGTTGACTTGAGCTTCTGCAGGACGTTAGCACACAAAATGGTGACGATATAAGATGGTCAAAAGTTATTTTTAAGATGTTTTGGACATTTTTGCTTTGTTTGATAAACAGTGAAGAGGCATACAGGAAGTGTGGGAAAGAGAGAGAGAGAGGGTGGATGACATGAAAGAAGGTCTCCAGCCAGATTCAAACCAGTGATGTTGCTGTTATGTGGTATGCGTTTTTAGACTGCTAAGCCACTGTGACATCCCATGTTTGTGATTTTGAACAATTGGACTGATGCATCTGCATTTCTGTTGTCAGGTTTTAACACTAAATCCTGTTTTGATTTGACAGTGTATTTTTACGCATGTTTCTGTATTTCTTCTTCTGATCTTCAAATGAATGACTAAATGAAGTTCATTACGACAGCACATGAAGAACAGGTGATTGTATGTGCATGTTTATGTCTTTTTGAGAGGGGAGTGAGAGGTCATTCCTCAGTGTGCAATGCAATTATTTTCCATTCCATCGGAAACACATAAAAGCAATTATCCTTCTTCCAACCATCACTGCTTTATTCTTGGTTGTTGACAGCCAATCTTATCACAGGCCTATCTGTGCGTAACCTCATGCAATGGATGTTTATGCTGCATGCATCTAAATGTATGCATGTGCTAGTGTGTGTACATTCCGCCACAGCTCATTGGTGGCTCAGATCTTATGCCTTGAGCGGTAGTTAGTACAGATGTTTGGCGTCTACAGGAACATGCTACTTTGGAAGCTTTCCCACATGCTATCTGGTGTGGTTGACTCTGAGCTGGCCCCAAACTTCAAAACAACCCAGCACTAAAAATAGCCTGAAGCTCTTAATCATTCTGCAGACTCTTAATGTCTCTGATAGTCAGCTCACAGAGCTCAGCTAGGACACATACAGTATTAGCACCACCAAAGTCATTCTGTAAATAACAAATACATCTCATACATCTCTTAGGCTGGATTCACAAGGCACTACTGATTTTTAACTCTTTGCAGCGCCTCTTCATGCTTGCTCACACTAGAAACACATGTCATAAAATTAGGCCTTAACTTATGAAATCCAACCAGGCTACATGCCAAGTCCTTGACATGACAAATACCCCAAGACTACTCCTTCTGTGCAGTAATGTTTTATTTCAACTATACATGCCGTGTTAAAAAAATCAACAAAAAATATCATGAAACAAAGACCATCATTATTATTTACACATTCACAGTACAACTTTACAACATATCTACACGCTCAAATACTCTGGAGATCATATATACAGCTGGCCTTGCATCGCCATGTTGCACAGTATTTAAATCAAAATTACATGACATAATCCTGTTCATCTGCACATACACCAAGCTCAAACTGAAATGTAAAGGCTTCAATTTAGATTGCAACAGAAAGACCCAGTTCAAATTGCAATGTACAAGGCAGTTGAGCAGTGTATGTTGAGTGTATATTTGTGATGTCAGTGTGTGCATGTGTCGAGTAGAAAAGAGAGCCCAAACACTGGTTAGATGACAGGCAGAAAGTCTTTACATACAATCATCACTTGTAAACAAAATGTGGCTTTGGGCTAAACAGGCAACTGACACTCGGATAGGATTGCAGATGTCACCCTAATATTGTACCCATTGCTAAGAGAAATGATCCCTCAGTCGTCCCTTCTGGCCAATAGAAACAATTGCTGTCATCTCAATCAAGGGGAATTACAGATTCTGCGTGACCGCCGCCCATGCCAACAGACAGGTTTCACGTGAACACTGTGTGAATACATTGGCTGTGGGCAGGATGTGCTTCATTGAGCTGACTGCTCCACAGTACAAAGCCTAACCATCCTACATCCCACTGTCAAGAAAATACATTCACTGCATGGCACCTCAATGTGGTAGATTAACACCATTCTTTTCAACACCAGCAGTAAAGGAGAAAAATTGATTTATACCCCAAATAAATGTTTTTGACTGTCCTTTTGTACAACAAGCATTCACAAGTGGAATGTTTGCCAGTCAATCTGTTTTCCACATTACTTCCATTTGGATTAGGTGGTGATATTACAACACATCCTGCTGATTTTGAAATTGCTTATATAGTTTATATAGAATATGACAGTAACATACAGAGGACCAATTGACATTGCCAATATTATATACTGTGGTAGTTCATTTTGTGAACAAGGCACACAATGCACAGATTCAGGTTCACTTGCCTAAAAATATTTATACTCCTTATTTATAGTATTTAAGTATATACAGGATCTTGTCATTCCCAGCATGACTCATTTGGACACATTGGTAAATGTTGTGTTGATTGTACACTGGTCACTTGCAGGGAAGCTGCACAGGGAACACAGGCTACAGGACCAGTACAGCAGATGACAGAGGTGATACATCCATGTATTGTTCTAGGGTCTGTTTAATATACCTTTAATAGGATTAATGTATGAGGAAATTCTAATGTTATTCTATTAGGAGACACACAAGTTTAACAGAAGAGAAGTGCCCTGAAATGTTGAATTCATGTACATGGGCTAAACCATTGGTGATGCTTTAGTTTCATATGGTAAATTATTTAAATAACACAGTAAAACATTATAAAGGCAAATCATTTTGTTTAAATTTCTTTTATAGAATGAGATGAGAAATGTATGTTTTGTCTTAATACCATTGCTACATAAAGAAAGAAGTCTCTTGAACCACCATTAAAATTCCTACAAAGGGGCAGTGGAGGTTTCCGTCCTGGGAAGAAGCATTATTTCCCATGTATCAGTCATACCAGTGCGTTTGGTTGCTCAAAACGGTACTTCTTGGCCTCTGTTGCATTATGACACATACACACACACACACACACACACACACACACACACACACACACACACACACACACACACACACACACACACACACACACACACACACACACACACACACACACACACTCACACACAGATGTGCAGGCCCTTAGGAGTATCCTAGTCTGGTAGAGAAAAAAATCAAAGACAAACACCTATGTCTATAAGCAATAGCAGCAAATGTAATAAGTAAAATTTCCAAGTAAATTACAGAGTGCCTGTCCCAGTATACATCCAGCATGACCAGCTTCACCTCAGCCTAACCTAATTACCACAAAAATATAGTTTAAGCTTGGTTCAGATGGGTTGATACTAGACCAAAGACTAGATTATATTGTTGAAATGAGAGACAGTGTCTTAGGTCTTTGACAGGTGTTAAGGTGCATCCTCTGCCATGTGGCGCCACTCTTGATAATTAAGTGTGAAGGCCTAATATGTGTACTTCCTTTACACAAACCTGCATTCCAGTCAACCAACACATTCACACATTCATTTGCACTAACTGTTTCTGTTCACTTGCTGTTTGATTCAGCTGTTCGTGGTCATATGTATATTAAGCAAAACACATTGCAACACATCTGATTTTTGAGTTTCCTCTCCTCTGCCCCCAGCCATCTTACTAACAAAGGCATGATCTACCTCTCCTCTTTGTTCAGTTCACATTAGTGGGAAGACAGTGCTCTAGGGCAGTGACAAATGAGACCCATTCTTCAAGTATTCCACTGTTTTTAACCTGGTACCACACGCACAGATGTAGTAGTGGCCCCAGCAAGTGTCCTAAACCTTGTACCTAAAATGGGAACGGGCAACACCCAAGCCCAGATACAATGGGGAGCAGCAGATTCACCACTGTCCACTGTTCATATCCTGTGGCTACCGTGACAAGGGAGGGAGAAAAAAAGCCCCAAGGAGTATCTTTGGCCACATGTGTGAATTTCCCTTTTAGTGTGAGTGAATGTGCATATCATTTAAAGGGGGAACACACCTCAAGTTGATACACAAACACACTAGGCCTTACCCCTTCCATAGCCCCCCCCCCCTCCAAAAGCCCTCAGGGCTCAAAGCTCTACAGTCAAGGCCAAGAGCTCACTCAGAAGTGTCCATACTCTTTTAATAACTGTACTTATTGACCACTCGCATCTGTGGAGTCTGTGGTGGAAACCCATTGGGTTTAGGGGGCACATCCGGCTTTAGCGATGGGGTCCGTTTAAGCCCTGTGCGAGGGAGTGAGCAATGCCCACTGTAGCTGCTCTGTCGGGATACAGAGGATGGGTGGGCTGAGTGCATTCCTCCTGCCCCCATCACTCCGCCATGAGAGTCAAGTCTGGAGGGGGGTGTTGGGGGCATGTAACCCCCTCTGTTCATACTGTGTTGGCGAGACACAGACACTCCCATGGTTACCCCATTTGGTGAGGTGGATAAGGAGTGCCTATGAGAGGCACTCCGGTGGAGTTGATAACCCCCTCTTTGCCTCTCCAGGGTGCCCCCCATGCTCAGGCTGCCCGTTGGTGTGGTGGGAGTGGTGGGCAAGGGCACATCAACCCTCTTGGTGGGACTGTGCCTTGGCAGGGAGGAAGAGGGAGAGTACAGGGAAGCCTCACGGCTAGGCACCATGGGGGGTACTTCAGTTAGTTCTTCCATGGGCTCCAGTGTGAGCTGTTGTCTTGGGCGGGGCCCTGATCCCTCTTGATGAACGGCCTTGGGGCTAGCCACAGAGTCGTTAAGGTGTTTTAAAAGGTCATTTAGGGTATTTCTGGCATCCACAGACCTCTTCTGGTCTTTCCTACTTCCCTTAGAATCTGGCTTCTTTTCAGATGAATGTGGCAGTGTATCATCTCCATTGTCATGGTTAGGGTGGTCATGTGTGGCATTGGGCAAAACAACCGCGCTGGGGATGTGGGAGTGTCCCAGGGCGAGGTGAGGGTGATGGGTGTTGGAATTAGGAGGAGCAGGAGAAGAAAGAAGGAACTGAGGACTCTTGACTGATGAGTTGGACTCCTTACGGGGCCCACTAGCCTTCCCGTGAGCCCTCTCCCACTGGTTTTTGATGGGCTGCAGGCCTTTCTGCTGAAGCACAGGGGTGGACTCGGGTGTAGGCAGGGCAGCCAACTCAGGGGGCTGACAGCCATCCCGCAGGATCATGGTCTTAGTGTCACCGTTGGGTGTATTCAGGTCTTTGCTGTTGCTCAGCAGATTGGTGTACAACTTGGGAGAATCAATGTTGGTTTGGTACTCCTAAGAACGTGACAATAAAATCAAAAGAGATTAGACACAATTTCACAGCTTGTTCAATCACACCTTTCCACAAAAGACTTTGACGTAGCATTGGAGCTGGTTTTATGGCTGTACCTTTACAGGGCTATCAAAGAGGCCGTTGAGCTTGACAAAGCTTCCAGTGGAGTCGGAGCAGGACGGTGCAGACTCTGCATCCTTGTGGACATGTCTTGGTTTACGGAGAAATGAGTCTCGGTAGCAGAAAACAATCAGACCAGCCAAGAGGGCACCCATGAGAAAAGCAGCAAACACGCAGGTGATGAGGATGTTCATGTGAACCATCTGGTTGGTGTCACCCGCTTGAATATCCCAAACACCTACAAAACATTAAAGCATTGGTGAACCTCCTGATGAAAAGAGTCAAAGTGCTCAGTGAAGTGTACTTTCCCATTCAACAGCAGAAATGTGCATATCTGTGTGTGAACACAATCATGCATGATTTTCTGCTTTCACCCCCATACAAGGTAGCCAGTTAACCACAACCAAATTCCATAAATATTGACACATTCCTATTAATCTAAACCCAGATGAAGAAGAAATATGGTGAAAACTGCCAGAAGCTGTTAGGTACCCACATCCATTTCACCATCTATAAGAAGCAGTGCTATGTTAGTTCAGAGGGGGAGACTTAAAAGTGTTTCCTTGATCCACACTCCACTAGAGGCTTTTTGTCATGCGTTTAACCGGTACCAAAAGAGTTAGGAGTGCACTCTTATCTGAGATAGAGAGACAAATCAAACTTTTTGCAAGTTGTTCAGAGGAAAGAGAAGCCGTTTTTGCCCTCCAGGTGTTGCTCTACTGGAAGTTTGTTAGTAACCACAGACATTGAAAGAGTTAGTCATCCACCGTGCAGCCACAATAGTGATGTGGCAGAGAAGGCCCAGTCAATGATCTACTAGCCAGGGTAAACTGTTACTAGAGCTAGAGTAAAAAATATACTGGCAGAAGCTAAATCCAAACAAAAGATTTTAAAGGAATATTATGAGAACAGTGAGTGTAAGTTTTAATGATTAGAAAACTAGGAAGAAATAATTCAAAAGAAAGAACATAAGAAAATTACAATTTAAAGGATAGAAAACAATGGTAACATTAAAGTATATGTTTAACATAAATTATGTATGAAAATGTATATTTGAAAAAAGAAAGACTAGATTAAAATTTACCATGTTATCTAATGAATAGCAGTCATTGTGTGCACATATGTATTTGCATATCTGAGCCTATGTGTGACTTCACATTTGTGTGGCTTAGTGAGAGGTGTTGGCAACTATCAGATCAGACTCAATGCAACGTGCTAGCTGCCTCCCTGTGGGCCTTACCCTCTTGGCCCCCTGGGATAGAGTCTAAAGAATGGGAGGTGGCTGGGTCATCCTGCAGCACAAAGCCTGAGCCGTAGAGCTCTGGACCAGGCTCTGAGCTGGGTCTCTGAGTGGGTATGAGTACTGGGGGGAGTATGGGCCCACTGGTGTGGACAGTGACTGGCGCTGATGAAAACTCCATGTCTGTGGTGACAAACAAATTGTTAACAAACTGTGAAGACGTGGGTAAAGCATACTGTTATCATCCCATCCTGGTTAGTAGACATGGGCAATGGGTAATTTTTAAAGGTTAGTGTCTGCAAAAATATTAAATAAACTTTATATCAGTTTTAAAAATGTAGTATTTTCACATACACAGACCAATGAAAGCATATTTCTCTTTGTTGTTTAGACAATTTGTAAGGGGAAAAAAGAGAGGATACTGAGGTTCAAAGAGGAGTTGGTACACAACAGTAAGAATGCCATGGGATGGTGGGTGGACGTGCAAAAGAGAGGAGGGATCAGAACAGGAAGTGATGAGTGAAAAGGAGGAAGAGAATCTGGGCTGAGATAGAGCACCAATGTTGCCTGGTGAATTTGTTTGTGACGATGAAAATGAAGCAGGTAAAATTAGCATTCAGGAGGTGTTTGGTAAGAAAAGATGAATGGTAGCACTGGTGAAAAGACAGGGTTGGAGATGCTGAACTCAAGGAAAGAAACCATTTGAGTAAAAGATCAAACTAACCAGAGGTAGGGTCGCCAAATGATTTGTAATCTGGCGCTGATGTAGTGCCCAAAAACGCTAAAAGAATTAAAAAGGACAAGAAATCAGTGTAACGGAATTCAGAAGTAAAAACTAAAAACTAAAATCGCTAAGCGACACTAAGAGTGCTATTTAGTTGGTTTAATAATAAAGACATAAAGCACTCGTTAGCAGTGTCTTTTTCTCACTGGAGTCATTAGAGGCCCTCTGGTTCTGATCAATACTGAGGTTCAGCCTGGGTCATGTTTAGTTGGTACAAATGAAGGGACGGATGTTTAAAAGTAAAATCAGTTAAGGCACATTTTCTGGCCATCAGAAATCTTAAGACCTCTACCATTTGCACCAGCTGAACATGGCCCTAAATTGTACATGTCCATGTTTCTGCCTCACAAGCGGCATAAGTTACAGGTGGTCATGTACTGTATGCAGATGTGTGTGTTAATACTGCACATAGACTTATGTAGGGGCAGGTTACTGGAGTGGTTACTGGTGTGAGTGTGCAGGCTCATGGTGTGTGTGAAGATGAGTTTGTGTTTCGATTGTGTACATGTGTGTCAGTGTGTGTGTGTGTGTGTGTGTGTGTGTGTGTGTGTGTGTCTCAGGATAGATGGCATGGCAAGGAGATGAAATTCGTACCTTGACAGTCTCCCAGGTGGGCAGTGTTTCCAAATTCAACGTCCTGCTCGTATCCAGTCCTGAAAAGAGAGCAAAGAAGAGATAAATAGACAGAGAGATTAATCATATAGTTGCAAAAATTCTCTCAGTTTTCCATCTATAATATTTGCACTTCATATTGCAGCTGAGGCTTGAACTCACATAACACCAGGCTGTATCCTCTCACAGGCTCCATGAGGCTTCCAGCCACAGTAAGGATCCCTTGATGCAATGCAGGACCTGGTGTCGTACAAACACACACGCACACACATCATCAGAACAGCGGGTTTAATAATTCTGGGAAGTTCACTATAGTCATTTGTGACTGTCTGAACATTAACCACAAGACATGAGGTGAAGCTGTTATCATTCTCTTTATGACATTTACTGAAAAACATAACAATAAAGTCACAAACCTATGACCAACCGTGCATTAGTGCGTCACTTACTTGTGGCAGGAAGAATGCCTTTCACAGCGACTCAGGGGAACACGGATGACACAGCTTGAAAAGGCGACATACAGGCTGTGTGCGTCTTTGTCCACATGCAGCGAGAGGACACGCTTGTCATCCTCGCGGTTAGACAGGCACCTGGGAAGGGAAACGAGAAACCTGATCAGAGGTTTATCAGATAAGTCTGTCTACTGTTTCAGTCTGAGCAGATATAATCACTTGTTAGGTGAAGAAGTCACATAAAGCTTTTTCTCACAGCTTAACAAGATTTTAACCTCTGACACATCCACGTGCACAAATAAACACAAAAGAAAAATATTCGACACGTACTGTGCATGCACAGAAAGCAGACAGAGACTGCCATCTGTGCCAGGAAGCTTCACTTTAAGAGTTGCTGACTCCTCTGCCAGAAGACAGAAGGGAAAGAGAAAAAGAGAACAGAAGCAGACAGAGAGAGGGTGAAAAGTGCATGTATCCCTACTTGGCCCTGTTGAAGACATCTATCTCCTCCAAAAGCAGGCTGTCATTCAGGGACACAGAGGAGGTCTTGGCCAAAACCTTGAGGACAACCCCTGACTCAGCCCCGATGAACACAACTGTGTAGTTCTTGTGAGGCCCAGCTTCATTGTCCACAGCCAGCGCTGTCAGTCTGTACCTTCACACACAGCAGAGAAGCATGTGTTACTCGCAGTAAGGTTTCAAATAGGAGAGGCCATTTTGAATACATGCGGCTCTTGAGTTACTAAAGGTCAAACTGTTTTTTTATTCCATTTAAGTGTGCATTGTTATATCATCATCCTGACTGTTTACCTACAGAGGACACAGTAAGTTAAGAGACATTGCATCAAATGCTCGGGCAGATTCTTCCGTCAGGTTTACTTATTCTTTGTTCATATCTTGATACAACTTTGTTTTTATCAAGATTTGATATAGCTGCTTGTGATAAGACAGTATGAAACACTAATGCAATGAGAAAAGTTTAGCATATTTGGTTAACATTGAAATTAATTTGTTTTTAAAATTAAGGTATCCGTACCAAAACTGTGGTATGGCAATGGCCCATACCCATCCCTAATCTGCTTCTGCTTTTACCTGACACGGGTCTTGGTGAACCAAGGCTCATCCCCGATAGAAGGCACAGCTGTGTCCATGAGGGGGTGGGACTTGATGAACTGCAGGGTATCGTCCGGGAACTCGATGGAGCTCTTCAAGGACGCAGCTGGACCATGACCTGCACAGCACCCGGGCCTAGGATAGAGGGTGCACATGCAGAGAGGGCAAAAGGTCAAAGATCAGTCCATATGATAGCACACGAGGGAGTAATAATAACGTGAGCTGAAATGGATGAAAAGTGCAATGAGAGGGTGGGGGAGAGGAGCAGGTGCTTATTAGGATCACAAAAAGGCCTCAGCTGGAAACATAAAATATACATATGCATGGTTATCCTCCATCAATGATTTACTGGGGTAATGAGGTGCTTCGTGGACTTTGTGTTTTGGACACAGAGCAGAGCTACAAATATACGTGCTCATTGTAAACAGGTTAAATATGCAACACGTGTTTAATTATGCCATATTAATTATTTAATCATCAGCAGATGGTGAATGTGTGTGCTAGGTCAAAGCTAATAACCTGGTCCCTTACTAGTGAAAAATATTTGATTTCACTGGCTTTAACATGGACAAAGGGTTAAGAAAAGTGGGGTAAATGACAGGTGGTAAACAGCTGCTGAGTCAAGCGCCACCTGCTCAATGAAAAGCCACTTTTAAAATCTGTTTAAAAATTATTTTTTTAACATTTCTTTTCTGTTTTGCCTTCTTGGCCCTGAATGCTTTGGAAGGTTTAGAATGTGGGAAAATGAATGAGGGAGAAAAGAGTTCAATCCATACCGAGGTTTGGGCAGCTTCTCCTCTGGAAATGGAGTCCACACAGAGTCAGGAGTCTTCTGCTCTTTGAACCGGCCCCAGAATACTTTCTCAATGTCGACCATGGAGAAGGCACACACTGCTGACCCTGGGATACTGTGGAGAAAGAAATACATCAATGTAACGTCAATGTTTGACCACCAATCTTTTTACTTATGCCCTCTGCAATTCAACAACTAACTGCCGCCATGACTTACCTGTTCATCTGTGTGGTAAACACACCCACCACTGAGGGAACTCCATTGATGTTGATGATGTCAGTGATGGACTGAAGCACATCGAAGTAGAAGAAGGACTCCCCCGGCACGGAGCAATTTAGCCTCGCCTTCACAAAAGACGTCCAGTGCTTCTCCAGCACCCGCTGTGACCCACCTACGTCATTCTTACAGATCCGGGCCACACGAGAATACACAACCTGAGAGGAACAGGGGTTTAAGAGAGGACAGAGGCGGGTGGAAGAGGAAGGCAGCTGAGTGAACGTCACTAAAAACACTTCAACATGTTGAATAATGCATCTCTCCATCCTGTAGCAACTCAGCACAGACGACTTAACAAACACACAATATCATCTTTAACTTTGTGTATGGAGATTGTTCACTTTGACTGGAGTATAATTTTTTTTTTTTAAAACAGAAGGAGGATGGCCATCCTTGACCAGCCTAATGCAGCACCATTTTAATATCTGTTTGATTGCACATATTACCAAGGCTTGGAAGTATAAATAAAGTGTGTGAAGCAGTTGGCTTTGACAGTTTTAATAATTTACCAGTGCAAACCCCCATCAGAGGCCAGGTGTCACACAAGCATTAGTTGGGTTGAAATATTAATTGACTTGTGGCTGATGGAGGATGCTGGCTTCCTGTGGCTCAGCCAGACCAGCTCAGGATGAGGCATGGTCAAATCTGAAGTTGGCCTCAAACATAGAACATCCTAATTCCCTCTGCATGTGTGTGTACGTCATGGGGAGAAACAGACACAGAGTGTGCAATCTCCAGGAGACAAATCCTCGCACTGTGTAATGGTTTTACATTAGTAGAACATTCCCAGCAAAACACTGGCTGTTGAAATTTCTCGTGCATTCTAATGCGATGTACTGTCATCGCTTGAATGGGCCCCATTACCACTGGGGCCATTTGTGGCAGAAACACATGCACTGAGGGAAGTGTAAGCCTTTTTTTGGATAAAGGCCTGCATACTGTATCTGTGTGGCATATGTAATGTATTATAAACGGCAGGTGCGCTGTCTTACCTTGCCCAGATTGCTGTGCTCCACTGCAATCTCTCGGTAGAAAAAGTACACGTAATTCCCATACTCTGCTGCGTGCAGGAAATGAGGTTCTGGGGGAGAGACAGAGGCAGAGAGTTGAAGTGTATTTCTGCACCGTCACCACCACTGTGCATGCTGAATATTTCAGGGATTTGTACCAGGCTGTATATGACTGGGGGTGACCTAGATTGCCTGGGAGAGAACAGGCCATATCTCCATGGAGCTTGGCGAGGCAGGAGAGCTCTCTATCGCTCCAAAAACAGCTCTGACAGCCACGTTCATACATACACCATGCTAAAGCACCATGGGCATTTAGCTAGCTGGCAGGTAGACACATGAATCTACAGGAAAGCAAGGGGAGAGAGAAATTAAGATTGAGTGATGATGTGGCATTTGCTTACCTTTCAGCCATTTGGAGTCATATTTGATGGTCCTCAAGGCTGATCCATCACCCATACTGCGATAGATGACAGCATCACTGGCCTGGAAGTCAGCTACAGTTGCGGAATACAGCTTCCCTTCTAAAAGGGAACAAGAAAAACAACAAGGAGTACAGTCAACAAAAACTAGGATACACTGATCCTCAATTCTCTGTTGTTTCTCTTCGTTTATAAGGCTTAAGTGGCTGAGTTGTTATCGCTGCAGGCACAGTTTTACTGTGGCAAAGACACAGAGGTGATAATGAGAGCATAAGTAGGAACACATTAGTTCTTCTTCAGCAAGACTAACTATGTGTGTGTGTGGGTGTGTGTTTGACCCATACCAGCAAAAAGGGCAACATTGGTTTGCTTGGAGTCAAATGGGCATCGTGCCAGTCCATTGATCTCCTCCCCATCAAACTCTAGGTTGTCCAGCTGAAGGGAGCATAACAATCACCCACACATTAAAGGATTTTTTGTCAAGGGACACAGGGAAAATATACACATAGAAACACTAGCATGCACATGAAACAAACAAATCTCGTCAAATTTATTTGAAAGGCATTTAAAATAAAGGATTGTTAAATTACGTTCATGACATTAACACAATACCAGATTTTGTGTTTGTGCCTTTGTGCACATCTGAGCATGCAAACTTTGACTTGTGAAAGACGCAGGGCAGGTCCTGGCTCTAGATACTGACCCTGTAGTATCTGCACATGGGGTTGAAGCCGTTAGTACCACAGATGAACACCAGGTCATCGTTTCGCGGAACCAGCACTTTGATAAAGTTGTGGCACTCGTCCTGAAACCAGACACACAATACAGAGCGGTGTTTTGAGAGGCAGCCGGCTTCTCTGCTCACAGTTTAAGTCTCTGTCCGTGTGGTGGAATATAAAACAAAAAGGAGCGAGGTGAATGATTTTTAATACATACTCTGTGTTTTCCCTTGACAGCACACATCTCTCTGTCAGCTTGGCCCGATCGCCATGTAAGCTTCTGTAAAAACCAACATGGTGCATTAGACACATGCACAGCACAGTAAATACACACATACACCCAAGCACACGCGTGCACAGTCTTCCCTTTTCCCACTCTCTCATTTTATAACCTGTCCAGTTGTTGATGAATGGCTCTGTATTTTCTATGGAGCCCTTTTAGTGTTTGTGGATTGAGAAACAGAGCTTGTGGTGAGAATCTTACCCGGTAGGGAATTATCTCATTCCTGTAGGATTCTCTCAGACTGACTAGGTACACCTGATCTCTGTGGACAGACAACAAAAGACACACTTAAGTTACATAGCACAATATGGAATACACTTATACAAAATATAATCAGGGCTAGTCAGGGCATTTTCAGTTTTTAAAAAATCTGTGTTTATTTTTAATATTAATCCAAGGGTAAGAATTTGATTAAAAATTAATTCTAGCTTTAAAAATAACATTTTTCCAACACTACTATGTTTTTTACTGTGTGGTTTTGCCATTTTTTACATTCTTAGGGGGAATCTGGTGCATAATCGGCAGCTCATTTGCATTGTTTTCCTAATTTTCTTTGCCATTATGAGATTTGATGTGAATATTTTCTGAACTGTACTTAGATTAGAGGACCTAATTTATTGTGGTTTCAGGCTCTTCTTGCACACAACGTTTTGGTTTGTGGTAGTATAATATATGAGGAAAATGGGTTTAAACCAATATCCTGTAAAAATTGAAAACTAAAATATAGTTAATTCAAATGTCTGTATTATGCCTTCACCATTTTACATGACAACAACTTTTTGATTAAATGTCTAGGTTATTTAAGTTATTTAAAACCATTTATAACCATTTAATAAAGCCAGTTGGAAGGAGCTGCTGCCCCCGCGACCCGACCCCGGATAAGCGGATGAAGATGGATGGATGCAATTGGGATCAAATTTTATCAACACACAGAGACCAACATTTTGCATCACTTTTAGGAAAAACATGTGAATATCCCAAACTGGCAATAGAGGATCCACCTGTCAGCAGTGGCATGTGGTAGTGATTACAGGGGCTCCAGAGGTGGGACTTTTATACTATAGATGTCGAGGTGATTTCCTGCAACCATATTAGTGCTGGTGGTCAAATTAATCCCAGTGCCCATAAATACCAAAAAAGACATGTAAAGATGCCAAGAAATCCCTGACAGAGCGTCAGGCTGGCATGATAGACGTCTTTCCTGGATCAATACTGGCCATATACATCAGATACAGGCCTAGAAGCCAAAGATCCAATAACACTAAGAGCTTTTTCCCCCGCTTACGCCACTGTTTACCTGCCAAGGAGTGACTGAGTATATTGGTGTGGGGGATGTGTGAAAGAGAAAGAGAGAGAGATAGTGTGTGCATGTTGAGTTTACCTGCCAGCAATGAACAGTGTGTCCTGTATCTTGGTCATAAGCTGAAAGTCAAGGCGATGCTGTGACTCATTGCCAGAGGGCCTGCCTCTGAACACAGGGTATCTCCGTGAAACTATAAAGATATCACACACACACACACACACACACACACACACACACACACACACACACTACTGTTACTGTACTGTCTTAAGATGAAAATGAAATCCACTTAAAGCTACAACTGACCATATAGCAGATTGATTTTATTACTACGGATATGACAGGCTTGTGTCTGAACTGCTGACACGACTAGAAGAAAAAGGCTGCCGGTATTTGTCTTTATTCCATGTGTGACTGGAGTAAGTAAAAAGTGTATATTAAGGATAGTTGTTGACTTTTTCAGTAATTGTAATCTCTACCCCTGTCTCTGCTGAGTTAATTTGCTTGCGTGTACTCACAGTGTGCGTCAACGACATCAAGGGGTACAGTGTCCTCAGGGAAGCTGACTGCGAGGAGAGTGCGTGAGGCTGTCATCAGCAGCAGCAGCAGCTCACTGAGCAGAAGCACAGCTCTCTGGCCCATGGCTGCTCACAGACGACACTTCCTGTTTCACACTAGTGGAGATGTTACCTGGAAACATACACAAAAGGCATGAGTATGTTACTTTACATGAAATACGGTTCATGTTATATTGAACCCACTGCTGCAAACTGTAGTATTTAATGTCAAATCCTAACCCTTTGTTAAGATCAGAACAATGAAACAAGACATTCAGCAGTGAAGGATTTCTTTTCTTGTCGATATCCAATATGTTAGTAAAATACAAACATACAGCACACACACACACACGCACGCACGCACACACACACACACATTCATGATGACTGTGCTCTCAGTGGCAGTGCTTGGCGTTTCCCCTCTACCTCTCCCTACATCTGCTGTCTAAGGGAAGGTCAGCCAACTGACCAGTGGGGTGTCTCAGTGTGTGTTGGATGCAGCGGAAGTCCACTCTGTTAGAAGCGTGGCAGGCCTGCTGTCTCTGTACATCTGTGCTCTGATTGGTTTGTCCTGGGCCAGGCTCAACACTAATCAGCACATTGCAACTTCATCACCATCACTAGTGTAGCCTCTGCTCTGACCTTAGCTGACTTCTATTAGCGCTCTCTTGGCTGTTATTGCTCTAGCCTTTCCTTATAGCTGGTGCGCTTTATTGCAGTGCAAAGCGATTCACTCTTTGTGTTATGAGGATCTAGTCACGTACAGTTGTTTTGACATAGTAGTAATTTTTGTACAGCATCTGACTGTAGACATGATACATCAGCAACTACATTGGTAATAATTTATTGTGGGAGTGGCAGGGGTTTAGTGTGTATGTTAGTGCGTGGAGGAGTGCTTTAGAGACAGACGGTGTCTGTGCATATTAATGATCGGTGTACATTCAAATATTTATAAGGCAAACAAATTATTCATGCAGGCAAAGCCTGAACGGATATAAACAATTTACCGAGAGACGTCACACAGGCAGAGGGATGGATTAGCTGGGAACGCACTGGGATACACACACACACACACACACGGTCGCACATATATAATCACTCTTTCAAATGGTGTAAGACTGAGAGTACATGGACACACACACACACACAGTATTGACTCATTTTTCAATTAGCCCCAAAGCACACCTGCTCCAGTGCTGTCTGTGAGCCCTGTCTGCCAAGCCATTAGTGCTTTGATTGATCCACACAGGAAGCATGGCAGATCAGCAGCTAGCAAATGCAATCTATGGACTTTACCATATCACTGTAGCCATGTGAGAACTTTGTAACTCACAATCTGGTCACTTTTTGTAGAACTTGGGATTTTTAAATCTCACATATGGTTAAAACACTAAATCAACTATAGCACACATGGTCATAGCCATGTCAAGTAGAACCTGGCTCCACTGCCGTAAAGCTGTTGACACAGCGCACTAATAATAATAATAATAATAATACAAAATCCAATTTCGGTCTGAACGGCTACTGTATGATGATGTGTCACTAAAAAAATGGAAGTGGTGGAGATGGAATCAGACTAATGCCAGCCTGTTTTAGTCATCAACAGTGTGTAATCATGGCTATTCAGCACTCCGTGGGATACTGAGGCCTTTGAAAGAGCGATGTCATTATGATTGAGTAACGCAAGGCCTCACCAAAGACTTAATTACTTAATAGTTAAATTACGGGTTTGATGTTTTGACAAAATAGAAAACTTGAATGAGGGCAAAAGGTTGTTTTCTCTTCCTATAACTACAAACATCAATGGTGCTAGTGCAACCACTCTAATCTAGATACAAATGAATCTCCGGACATAAACGATCCACAGATCTATGCACATGGGCTCCCAGATCTATACAAAAAGAACAACTGTCAGCACCTTAATCTAAACGAGAAGTGATGATGCTGCTCTGCAAAGAGGGACAGTGCTGTTCCGTAAAAGCATTGCAGCTATTTTTTTACTACCTGCTTACTACCTCAGACGCTCTCGCACCAAGAAAGGTGCTGTATTAAAACCCAAGCAATAAATTGCTGAGTTTCTAGGAAAAACCTGCAACAGGAATAGATACCAAACACACAAACCATAGCAAAAAAAGAAGAGCAATGAAAGGTAAATAAACCAAGCTTCACATTCCACTTCTATAGTGCTATCACACAGGCTGCGGGGTGTGCTTCTTGCCCAAACTTGGCAGTGTTCACAGGTAAATCATTTCCGTGGTTGTCAGAATTTAGAGTCCTGCTCTATGTTGACTCTTCGTAAGCACACACATGCACGCCACTTTTTCCTGCTATTCTCCCCCGCTAAACAATTCAGGAGAAAAAAGACTCCAACCATAAGCAGAAGCTCAGCTCCCATGATTCCTTGCATGGTAATAGCCATATTGCGGAGGCGAAGGCTTTCCTCAGAAACTTTAATGTAAAACAGAAACAGAAGACATCCAGAGGTCAGCAATCTAAAATTACTTCTCAATCTCTAGTGAGCCCAGCATGTTTTCTATTGACTATTCCTTTGCGCTCTCTGGTTCCTGCCCTCCAATGTGTGTGTGTGTGTGTGTGTGTGTGCATTTGTGCGTGCATGCACATATAGGTCTCAACAAGCCTAGAGACGCTGGGCTTCTCACGCAACTTACTGCCATTCTGCCTGGCCTCACTCTACCTCTGTTATTACAGGCTTTTCAATGTCCTACAACCACGCATTTTCACTGCTGATGTTGTTGGCTCTGGCCCACGGTGTTAAACACCGGGAGGGGAGAGAGGGAGGGGGTCTGGTGGATTGTTATTTCTGCTGATCGTGGGTGTAGGGGTCTGTAGCCCAATTCTGGTAGTTATAGCTGAAGATTTAGCGTTCCAAGCTTTAAATGACAGATTAACACATATTCTCCTCTTAGCTGTGCTTTCACTGGCATATGTCAGCCATAACCTCTCCTCCACTGCAACACTGGATGGATGTATTTTAGCAGGGCAGTCCTATTGGGAGGAATTGGGACTAATAAACGGATGGCTAACAACAGTGGTGCGTGAGGTTTCGTAAACTGTGTGTGGGTGTGATGGATAGTAGAACAATAGCTGCTGCTGCTTGAGGCTGCTTGACTTGTCATCTTGTACCATACTGAGCTCTAAACCTAAAAGCACAGGATATCAGATGGCCCAGGAGTTAATTTCCAGGCATTTCACTGTCTCTCCAAAACTGGATATGTCCTATAACATGGATATCTCAACTCTCAACTGTGGTTCTAATAATCAAGATGCAGCCACAAGTGACTTGGCCAGATGATTAGAGCAGCCACCCACACCCAGAAATGATTACCACTCCTTTCCCCACTTCACAAATAACGTGTGACATAAGCATCACTTCTGAGGGGCTTGGTTGGACTTGTTGCTTCAGAGACTTGGCAGAAGGAGAGGTCTGTGCCACCCTAAACCTTTCTTCCCTCCCTTTCTTCTCTACCTTGGCGAGAGGAGGAGTGAAACAGGAGAAAGGCTGTTCTCAGCAGTAGTTCTGCTATAGTAGGGCACAAAGGGGCTGAGCTGCAGGTGTGACCAAGAAACAAAAGGGGCTTTGGGCAAGTCAACACAATAGAGCCCCACCCCCGATCAGTGGAGCTACATTCAGGAGAGCTGTTCTGGGGGCTCATAAAAGGGTGTTCTGATGGAACAAAGCAAACTACATAAACACATTGACTCCAAATGCTGCACACAGGGCCAAACTTTTATCACTCAACCAATTTAGCACTGAACAAACTGATTTCCGAGCAGCAATTTAGGGCAACCATAAGGCTGTATGGTTTAATGGTGGTTGTTCCGGGGTCACGGCCAGCTGTAGTGGAGGTTAACGGTGATCGTTCTGGTCGCTGAGTTCTGACCCTGTGGCCAGTGAGGCGAAGTGAGACACATCAGCCAGCTGTGCTGTCAACGAACCATCGGCTGGTTCTGATGTTTGACCTGGTCAGAGAATGGTGCTCCTTCCAATATCAAGTTTGTTGTTTCTGTAACTAAGATGGGATTCTCCTATCTCTGTGACAGAGACTCCAGATTTTCAGGGAATTGTACACATCTGGTTTACAAATTAGCTCTGTCTTTATTTCCGTAAATGGGCAAGAATGGTTTGAGAGAATATAACACCAATAGAATTTTGACAATATTTTAGTACAAATTAAATAAAAATGAAACTTATACTTAAAAATGAATTGAGCAGAGTGGGTTAGTCTATAGAGACAACTTTAGAATAAGCCCTTTGGTTGCTTCTTTGGTTCATCCGTTTGCTCTCATTTGGCCATTTTTTCTTAAATAAAGAAACACAGTACAACAATTCATAAAACTACTAACCCAGGCCTCCTCACACTTACATACCTCCTTAACAAAAAAAGAACCATTCTGATTACCTCTCTTTCTTTATTATCGCCCGTTTCTCTTCCTTCATTCGCTGATAATTTTTCAAGTTTTGTGTGGGGATCTTAGCTCCTGCTTTGCGCACACAATCCTTGCAGCAGCCCGGGCTCTAATGCTTGTATTGTGCGGACTGAGGCGTAAAGGCATTCAAGTTTTATCCGTGGTAAATCTTTTCAGACCCCTTTAGCCCACATGTAGGACTCATACAAAAGACAACAAAGACGCGGGGGACAGCGGTGGAGTGACAACAGTGATGGGACTGCCTTTAACTGCCTCCACAGCATCCAATGCACTCACAGGGCTGGGCTCTCGTGTTGCTCTGCCTCCAAAAAGGTTACGAGCGCTTCTCCAATTTATTATCCAATGTAAGAACACCATAATGAAATTGGGAATACATTAAAAAGATTAAAGGAATCAGAGAGTGAGCAGTCAACAACCTTCAAGGCAAAATGCCCGCCCCACTCGTCTTTTATTGTTTAATAGCCTGTGTTTACCAGCATGGTGCGTCCAGTCATATTCAATTCATTATTTCAAGTAGATTTGTGTGAAGCCGAAATGTCAGAAAACACTTTCATTCATACCTTGAGACATTTAACACAACTCTGAGCAATACACAATAGAAGATATTAGCCATACCAAAATAAGGACAATTCTCTGCATGAAAGGTCTGTTAAAGACCAACACTAGCTGGCGTGGCTCTGATTTTACTGTCGGTCATTCACAATTATATTTTTTGAATTGGTAACGTTATATTTTACTTTTAATCTAGACTACGCACACTACTCATTTGTTAGCTGTTTAAATTCCTACAAATCTGTCCACAAAGTCCCCGGGACATACGCCAGCAGTGATATGTCGTTTAGACTATTAAATCCAAGGTCCATCTTAATAATAAAACAAAACAGAGTTCATCCTAAAAAAACACTTTGTTAATAACTAAAAATATTCGAGGACACCTACCTTGAGTATCCGAATTTACTCATGAATGGGGCAATCCGACTGAATATCATATTCCTTTGGTAATCCATTTAAGGGAAAACACCCAGCATATAATATTCCTGTTATTGTGAGCTCCACACGGATCACACTTTTTTCTTTTATCCAGTTGCGCACTGATTTAGGCTCCGTTCGCCACATACGAGCATTTTGACTGCCTGCTCTGTCTCTGTCCCCGGGCCCCTGCGCTCTGATGACTGATCTTCAAAGCTCTGCCACGACCACACAGCCCCCTCCCTCATTCACCAATACACCAGCCCCTTCTACTACTATTAACTTTCGAAACCAGAGGGAAAAGACATAAACATTAACGACGCGTTATCGTTACTACGCCTCGCTGTTCCTGTGAACTATTCACATGCAATCATTGATTTAATGCTGATTTAGAAATACAGAGGACGTGCAGACTGGCGGAGAGCATGATTCACCAGAATAAAAATAAAAAAACTAGATTTACACAAACCTAATTTCTGTGCTTTTTAAAATCGTACTAGACAATCCTCATAGAACTTTGAATCGACTGGTGTGATGCATGGTTTATGGTTATGCGACTATATAAGTTAATATAATAAGAGATGTCTGACAGCTTCAATAGGAGGGTAAACTGTCTCACAAAGAAAGAGGTGAGTAAACAGTTGTAGATTTGGTTTGCCCTCTCTTACGCCGCTTTATGAGAGCTTGAAAGATGCTTCCGAGCAGGACAGATACATTTTACCGGTCGTAAAGGGAATGAATGGATATAATGTAATTAAGCATAAGTAAAAATAGTCCGGTACTGAACTATTTCTGTCCTGCAACCATCAGTTGTGCAGAGCAGCATAGCGACGTGGTCAGAAGAAATATTTTGTATCCCAGCATAGACTTCTCCTCTCTAGTTTTCGACTTTCACTGCGTAATGCGGCGTAACAAAGTATATCCACGTAGATGCAAGGAACTCACCTCATTTGAATTGGTTATTTTGTATCCTTTTGTGATGCTGTAATCCCAAAAAAATATTGTGCGCTTCGTATGAGTCAACTTCTCCTGGCGGAGAGAAAAACAAACTAATGCACGGCAAATGGTGTAATTCGACCCGTGTTAAGTCAATCCATCCAGGGAGAGATCCACAGCCTACCAATAAGCAGCGCTCTTGCTCCAGTCCCTCCCCCAGCGATCCATTACTCCTCACTTGGTTCGGGCTTCTCTGTCTTGCTCTGGCTTCCTTCCTTTCTTTCCTAGAGCAGAGAAAGAAAAAGCGACCCCCTCCCTCCCGGTTCTCCTCCTGTGTGACCCCGTGTTGCCCCCCTCCCCCCTGTTAAACCCCATCCCCCAACTCCAAGTCAGCAAGAGCGCCTAGTTAAAATCATTTCAACTGAGTTGTGGCTGCTTAGTAAAACACAGCTTTAGAAATGTGTGGATTTAAGCACTTCTACTGTATAGCATCATCCAACCGATGTTTCTATTAAAAGTGGAGAAATTATTTATGACAACAATAGAAAGGCATGGAGTTCAAGTTTTACATTTATTTTTCAATAGATAATGTTACATTACTACATACATTATTGTGTACTATAAACACAATACATAGAATTTCCAAGAATAAGAATATTAAATGATCCTTATTCTGTTGAGCTAGATCTATACATAGGCATTAGGCATTCTACATGTGAATGTAAACATCAGCCTGAGGACGTGTTCCCGTATGCATGCGAAGCTGAAGTCATCATTGAACGTGTCAGGTCATTCCAGCCAGGTCGGCAAGGCCCAACAATGAAGGCCCATTTGCACCCCATTAGAGAAGCAGGTTAGCAGATGTGTGTGAATCTCTCCCACATGAACATCCTCACCTATGCACTCGCACGCATGCACACACACACACACACACACACACACACACACACACACACACACACACACACACACACACACACACACACACACACACACACACTTCTGACAGCCCTCATTATGAGCCAGGAAAGTGGGATCTGCATCTCAATACTTGCACAGGAAACACTAGTTTGCACTGCTGATCTGCCCGATCCCTGTTTGGCACTTCTTGCTTGTCTTAGTCCCACCCTTTGCCTCTTTTTTTTGCAGTTAAATACTTACTACTCAATATCCAGTCTCTTCATTTGACAGAACCTTTCTTTTTCCTCAGTCACACAATAGTTCTCAATTTTTTTCTCCAATCTCACCAGTGTTCTCAGCTAATAGATATTAGTTTTTAGTTTTGTCCTCTCAGTGTTTCTGTCAGTCCTAGGTTACTTCTTCTCTTTCTAGGTGTGATGTCCCTGTATCCTGTGGGGATTGAATCAGCACAAGCATCTATTATGGTGGGAGACGGGGAAGACAGATAGATCAATGTGCCGAAGGTTTGCGCAAATGCAGGTCCTGAGTGTCAGGATGGGTGAATACATATATGGATCTGTGGGTGTCCGGTGATTGGTGAGTGTATTGATTGGTCTTTTTTCAATGAATTGACAGTTTTATCGCGGGTGTAATGGCAATGTGACACAATTTCAGTAGGCTTTAATGGGTTTTGGTGCACTACTGTTGGCTTTGACAATTCTCAATCTGCTTGTTGTGTAATTATTTTGCAACTAACATGTATTGTTACAAACCCAAGTATAGTAAAAGGATAATTCATGATTTTACTGTCAGGATGAAACACGTCAAATTTTCTAATGTAATTATGATTATTTAAGAGACGGTAAAAATGAAGAAGCCAAAGTACATAGATGCACTGGTGAGGTTGAGGCTGTATTTTGATTACCCTGAGAAGCCTTGGCTTTTTTCCTTTTTTTAAATTAAAAATGCAAAACATGAACAAATCACATACTTAACAAATGGGAAGATATATGATTAAATTGAGACATATTTACAAGCATAGAAGTAGAGCAGATGGGTGAACAGCAAAGGTCTTTGAGACTGAGAGTATGTTTGGATTGATAGAAGGGATGGACAGATGAATGTATTGATGTTGGGAGATGGAGAGGTGGATGGTAGGAGAGTAGAGTGACATGCATGGAGGTTGGGGGGTGGACAGAGGACAGAAGGCCTGTGCTACTCCTTAAGCCTGATATGTTCCCTTGGGGACCTTGCAGTGTGTGGGTCAACCCCAGGGGGTGTTTGAGGGTGTGCCTTGGGGTGCAGAGGAGAATGTGAGTGCTTGGCCTTAGGTTGGGCCTATCAGAAAGTGCACCACCTCCACTCCCTTATTTACTACATGAAATGCCAGTACAGATGGCCATGTGTCAAGGATGGGGGCTACAGGCTGAAGGCTGGGGCTGAGGCCAGACATGGAGAGAACTGCAGGATCAGATGTAGATGACTTAGCAAGTTAAAGGGACTAAAATAATCTAAAATAACAAGGCACCAAATATAAACATTGGCAAATTGAATTTAAACATGTCAAAGACAGCTCACTCGACTTACTGACATAATGAACAAGCAAAAGCAAGTGAAAGACATCTCTGCTGTGAGTGGTCCAGTTTTCAGAACTGATGAGATGACTTTAACAGCGGCAGTGCTGTGCTAACTAGGAGAAAAGGTTGTGTGCTTTGTGGCTTGGCACTCTGAGTGTTCTGTCAGATGGCTGCCTCTCATGGTGGGGGCAGTCTTCACTGAACCTCCATGGTGACCTCTGATTGATTAAGAGGCCTTTTCTGGCACTCGACTGGCCCGGAGCACCATTTGTCACCTGACTGTGCAGTCCTGTTGAGAAGCTTCGCGTCCTCCAATCTAGAGTCAGACCTTTTTTCTAAATCCCCAACTCAGCTGGATCCATGAGGGCCACCCATGTCAAAAATCTGTTCACTCACTCTGGTGCTCAGGCTTTTGGATTAACACCAAATGGCATGTTAAAACATAACAAATTATACCACACATGAATCACTTACTCTGCAAGTGATACCTTACTGCATTTGTCTAAGGCTGCTGTTTAAAAAAAGCAATAAAACTGATTTGAAGTTAAAGTGAAATCAAATTTATTCAAGAAATCAGTATAAAGGCCATATCATTGGTGTTTGTTTTACTAGTCCACGTATTTGGTTTGCCCTGGCTCTGTAAAGGGGAAACAAACAAAGTTGCTTACCCTACCTTTCTGTAAAGAGCTGTACTGTACTGTAAGGATTCAAATGTTAGTTATGGCAAGTCATATTAATACTGCTCTTTAGGTGAGCTGCATGTCACAGATTGTAGATTTGATGATTAGGCCATAAAATTTACTTCATAAGCTGCTTTTGTATAGAAAATTTGTCTCAACCAAAGGTCAGAGAAAGGTGAGAAGTTTCATAGCACTGACTGAAGGTAGGACTGAAACATATATCTTTAATTTGCAATGAAATCACCTGTGCTCTGTTTGCACATATTGTCCCTTCAGCTTCCTTATTTATGAGATTATTTGTAGATGAAGGGAAGCAAATCTGTTTTGTCATAACTTGTTTTATGCTCTAAATTTAAGGACATTACGGTGTCTAGTTTGCTTTGATGCAATCCTGATGACTGCCACATTTACTCAAGAAAATGCACAGAAAGGTATGAAATACATTCTGATATAATGTAATTGTGTTTATTAAAATTTTCTTGGGGAAAATGAGAATGCTAATCATATTCATAGCCAGTGCTGTGGGTAATTTGCAGCCTGCGATAAGATGCCATATCAATGTGAACTGCTGATGATTGAGTGACACACATGACATTTTCGACTCATTATTTATTGATCCTATTCCAGTTCCCATCTAAATGTTTTAATCTGCCTGGCTATCGAGGTGCTCACGTAGGAGAACTATATTAAATGTTCCTGGACTTGAGCTGATCGTGACACAGTTGTCCTCTGTCTTATGTATGAAATGAATGACAGTGTGAATATAATGTAATTCCACCTTGACACCATTAGGGCAATGCTTCCACCAATTAAGGATATAACTCTTGGCCCAAGCCTAACACTGACATCCACTTGGTGTGGGAGGGAGCCCTTTGTTAGGGGGCAAAAGTTTTATTATTTCTGATAATGATAATAAATGCCTCCTCCCACACACTATGCCCTTCATTACAGCATTGATCCCATAACATCTCTGCTAAAATCCATCACTGTAGCTCTGTTAATGAATGCTCCAAACATAGCAGTCAACCACATGGATGATCCAATACCTCGTCACGTTCTCGATAATGAAGTTAATGAGCTAACGGAGTAGCCGACATTTTCAG